CCTTTCTGGGGTATATTACATTGGTTGTGTTTGCTGTAATTCGAATAGTGACGGCCTTGTTCTTGAAGGAGACGCTTGAAAGTTCCGCGAATGATGCAGACATAGCAATGGAGAGCCAATCCCACGAGGCAGCAAAACTAAACCAGAAATTAGAAGCGCTGTTCCGGGCGATGGATGAAGATGAAGGAGGAGCCCTTTCACGAGAAGAGCTTGTATCAGCAATGAGCCTCCCGAGTGTGCAACGATACATGCAAATCCTGGAAGTGCGCACGGCAGACTATGAGGATTTGTTTGATATTTTGGACGACGGAGACGGTCGCATTACGATTACTGAGTTTGTCCAGGGCTTGAAGAAAATCAAGGGCAATGCCCGAGCTATTGATATGGTTAAATTGCAGCACACAACCACGAAGCTTGCAAAAGAGTGCCAAGAAATCTGTCGAGTTCTTGCTGCAGGGCAATACCGTAGAGACAGAGAGCGACGTTTCTCCCTGACGACCGCCAAGGTCTAAGGCCCTTTACGGGCGCACTGACTGAAGAGCAATAAAATTAACAGCCACAAACCTTGATTCTGGCAGAGCCAAGTCAAGGCACGTCGCAATGGACAAACTATTCGACCGCAAAAGCGTGCGCATTTGGGCATTGGATGCAGACTTGTGACGTTTATAAACATATAAAAAAGACAGTTACGAAGTTGTCGATGGGCGAACGAAGTGAGTATTAGGGGGTGTGGGGGGGGTGGTCACGCAGAAACCAATCTGTGAGGGCGAACGCAGAGCGGCCTGGTGGGGGAGAGCGAAAAAACGCAGGCCAGAATGGGAGTGAACATGTATGGTTTTGGGGGTGTTGTGATGCAAGTGATGTAATTCTACCATGCAGGGATGGGGCGCGAAAAGTGGTTGGCGTCTGTGGAGGTTCTTGGCCTGGGGTGAAAGGGAGGTGTGTGTCTCTCAACACCCTGTTGTCTTGTGGAAATGAGTGATCTGTGAGGGGGAGGGATTGCAAGAAATGATGTGATCCGTTAAGGGCAGGGGTGGGCCAGCTTTGAGTTGCTAAAGGATTCTGGTGAAGCGGCATAGTAGCCAGACGCAGAAGGGCGCCCCATATGGGGCGGGAGTTCATGTGGAAGACAGGGGTAGCAGAGGACGACGCGGTAGGAAAAGAGGGACTGAAAGAAGTCTTTGAGTTTCTCTTGGGGGTGCCCTATTTATGGTGAAGATGCCTGTAAACTATACGCAAAAGGGCGCTTCATATGGGTGGGAGTTCATGTGGAGGATAGGTATAGCAGGGGATGTGATAGGAAAAGAGGTGGGGAGCTCACCAGGGAAGCGAGAAGTGCGTTGCTCAGCGGCAAGGGAGATGTGCGTCTCTGGAGGGCTAATATAAGTAGCCTTGCGCCAGGGGCGGACGTGAAAAGTGGTTGGGAAGTCCTTCTGAAAAGGGGGACGCGCGTCTTCCAACACTCTGTGTTCTTGTAGCCAATATGAGTGGAAGGGATCGCAAGAAGTGATGTGATCCGTTAAGGGCTGGAGAGGGAACAGAATGCAGTGGGCCAGCTTTGAGTTACTCGGGGGTGTCCTTTTTTTATGGTGAAGAGGCCTGTTAACCAGAAGCAAAAGGGCGCCCCATATGGGGTGGGAGTTCAGAGGAGAGGCATCGCGGGGGACCTTTAGAGGATAGGAGAGGAAAGGGGACAACGCAGCAGGAAAGTGAGATAAGGGAACGTCAGTCGTTGGGCTTTGGTGCGGATTTTAACATCGGACCACCGTCTACAAAGCAAGGATAGCGATCTGCGTGCAAGCGGCCATCAATTCCTTCACAGCCTCAAAAAACCCTTAAGTCAAAGGAAAAATCTTCTGCTTTTTATTGCCCCGTAACAAAGCCGCTCTTTGCCCGATGTGAGACGCTCACTTGATCTTGGCTGCAACACCGGACTTAAGTCCTATATCTTTTGCTCTCTATATTTCCAGCAGCTGTAAACAAACATCACCGCCATGTCGACTTCCCCCCATAAAAGCACGATCCAGTCTTAACAGCGCACCAGGTTTATGAGTCTATCCACAAAACACGAAAAACAAACCGCAGACAAACAATAATGACTTCGGGGTGCCCGGGTGCCCGTTCTTTCTCTTCCAAACGCCCCTTCATCCACAAGAAAAGGGCCCACCTTATGCCTCCCAACGCTTCCCCTGCGCTCTCGCGTTCACCCCCGTTGACCATATTCATATCTGCTTGTGGAGGCTGGCTTTCATCCTCCCCCTTCTCAGGTTATATATATATATGTATAATAGATGCGTTTTGAATGTAGGGACATTGTCCCGCCTTATCACTCCCTGTCCTAGGTGCGAAGCAAGCGCAGTGACTTATGGCAAGTGTTGCTTTGCTGGAGCGATGGTCTCAATCAAAGAGCCTTGCGCACAAGTTGACACCAGTTGAGAGTCTAACAGTTGTTCCCACGCTAGGTCTTGCTTCGAGACTATTGGTGCAAGCTGCAAGCCACCCCGAAAACCAAGTGTGAAACATCATCCCTGGTGTGACGAACGACGTAGGGTGCTGAGCCTCCTGAGAGTGCGTGGGTGAAATGGCGGAAAAGGTGAAAGCCACAGCCATTACCGACTGGCACCATAGGGTTCTTGACACCTCAAGAGCGTGGCTGTCCTAAGTGTTGGCCTCGCTGAGGCCTCAGGTTTTGCAACACTGGGAGCCATGATGGTTTGAATTTGAATGTGAGGCGGACACATACAAGTATTGCAGATGAGGGGACCAGAAGGAGACGCAGTATTGAAATATTAAATGTTGCGCGGACGAAGACCTTGCGAGCATACATCCTGCATCCACAACAAGACACAGCAAGAATTTCTTCAGATGGGTAGCTCAATCTCAAAGACCTATCTAACATGCCTATAATATGCCTCCTATGCCGTGATTTTGAGCCGACGGATTGTACCCATTTACAGCCTGCCTTAAGCATCTCACCAAAACCAATGTGTTTCAAATCATTTCGGCCATGGAGTTACTTGCAGTTCATCAAATGTAGAATCCAAGCAAGGAGCTTCCTCATCTTCTACCAAATGACGGAGAAGATAAAACCTAGGCTCGCCAGCTCGCTGGTCACTTCAACAGCCAATTCAGAAGCACGTGTTCATGTTCATTCATGTTCATTTGTGATTCATTTGTGATAATTTGACACTGGTGTGGGTTCGCCATTTGTTGAGATCTTGGTTGCTTATGCAGCTGTGAGGTGCGTTCTGCTGATGAGTTCAGGCGGGAGAAGCGTTTGCATTCGTTTGCTGGCCCTTTTTATTTTGATTGATAGAGTATCATGTAAGATGGCTTCGTGAACGCCTGTACACAGACAGGCAGGACGGCATATCTAGCAATAGCGCAAGAGTGACGCCTATTGTTATTGCACCGTTGTGACAGTATTTGCGTATTTGGTCCTTCTTTCCGACCATTTCTTAATTTTCCTCAAGCAGTTTGCTGTTGGGGTTCCTTCTTTCTGACCTTGTCGTCCTGTTGTCCTCTTTTTTGTTTTTGTCGGCCCATTGTCCTCCTCTTGTCTTCCTCTTGACCTCTTCTTGTCCTCCACGTGTAGCCTCCTGTTGTCCTCTTTTTCACCAAACAGTTTACTCTTAGAAAAAGAGAGCTGGCCACACTGACTGGCCGCACCCCTGGACTCTGTGGCCGGGCTCTGTGGCCGCGCTCTGTGGCGGGCTCTGTGGCCCGGCTCTGTGTCCGGGTATTGTCCTCTTCTTGTCCTGCTCCTCTTGTCCTTTTTTTTTCCTCCTCTTGTTCCCAAAGCAGCTTACTGTTGGGGTTCTATCTTAAAAACACCTGGCCACACTCCCCTGAACTCTGTGGCCGGGCTCTGTGACCGGGTCTTGTCCTCCTCTTGTCTTCTCTTGTCTTCCCTTGTGGCCGAACAATTAGCAATGTCGATGCCGACAAAAATCATTGATTAAGCAATTTGCTCTCGGGGGGAAGGTAGGGCGTACCAAAATCGTTTTTGACAAATATTGGTCCCATCGAATCGTTTTGAAACTGTTTGGGGCCTATGCTGCCTATGCTGGTATATTTCTCTCTTTTCCTCTTCTTGTCTTCTTCTTGTCGTCCGGTTGTCCTCCTCTTGTCCTCTTGTTGAACAGCTTGGCCGCCGCTCCCAGCCGTCCTCTTGTCCTTTGTCCTCTTCTCGCCCTCCTGTTGTCCCCTTGTTGCTCTTCTGCTGCTGCTGGCAGCATGGCAGCATGCAGGCATGACACCATGACAGCGCGCGCGCAATGCACTCTCCCCAAGCGCAATCAAAGGGTCCAACGCGAGAAAGCAACTGTGCACGCGCAAGCCTTGTATGGACTTAGTGGGAAAGCGCCAGCCGGCAAGCGCGAAGACCGCAGCATGGCCACATGGCAGCCTGTCAGCGTGCAAGCGTTACAACTTGTGAGCGTGCACTACAAAGCAGTGAGACACTAGCAAGATAACTCTCGTAGGAAAAACCTGGCCACACTGTTAGGTCGCGCCGGCGAGCCCTGTCCGGATGTCCTCCTGGCCTCATGTTCTTCCTTCCTCAGGTGCTCACCTATCTCCGTCGTGTTGTGTTTCTCTTGTCCTCTCTTCCTCTTCTCCTCTTGGTGTGCTCCCCTCATGTTATCCTGTTGCCCTTTTGGTGTTGTGCGGTCACGGCTTATCCTTCTGTTGTCTTCTTGGTGTGTTCATGTTGTTTTCCTTCCCTCATCCTTTTGTACCCTGTTGCCCTCCTCATGTCCTCCTTTGGCCTTTCTGTTGTCCTGCTGCTGCTGTGCTGTTTGTGTTGCTTTCCGAGGCAGGGGCTGGGGCTGCGGCCGCCCACCACCACCATAATAACAACAATCCTTGCCGACTAAACTGTTTGGGGTCCATGCTGGTAGTCATGCTGGTATGTTTTGTTTCCCTTGGATCAGCCCCTCAGCTCCTGCATGGAACTTGTCTATTTATGTTGGATGTTTTCGGGTGATTGCTGCTGCGATAGCTTGGCTTGATCAAGAGATGCCTCTAGCCGTATGCAAGCCATGCCGCGCCCACAGAAGCTCACTGAAGAACAGGAATGGTTCTTGTCACTTCTGGACCTCAAGTTTCAGCAGCATGAGCATAGGATTTGGCGCATGATGTCAGAAACCAATCATTGGAATGGAGCAGGTTTTGAGACCGTGGAGCATGAGGAATCAAACTTAGGCAGGGTCTTGGACGAGTTGGAACTGATCAACGCAGATCCGATCCAGAATGATGAGAAAGAGCAAGAAACTGCGGAGGAGCCACCGGAAAATTCAAAAGACACAAGAAACTTACGACCCGCCAGGTTGGGTAGTGTCTATGTGATGAGTGAGGTCAGCGAGCCTGAACCACATCTTAAAACATTTGTGAAAGGGCCCTTGGATCTCTTGATGGGGCTGGTGGTGGTTGCGAACCTGTCTGTCATGGCAGCAGTCACGCAGACTGATGGCTACGTTGCAGATATCCACCTAGGGCTTGCCACTGGGTCTCCATGGGGCCTGACCAATGCAGAGTATGAGGTTGCCGAACTTGTATTTTTCTTTATTTACATCTCTGATGTTCTGGCCAGAATCTGCATTTTGCGGAGCCAGTGGTACTATGATTTGAGAGAGGGATGGATGTACATGAATTTCTTTGATGCCTTGCTGGTGACTGTTCAAGCCTTTGAAATTGCTTTGCTCCCTGTGTCCGAGTCTTAGATTGACCGCTTGACCAGGGCAAGGATGAGAATTTCCAGCTTGAAATCGAGAGAATGCCAATAAACAATAATACTGTAGATCAGAATATTATGAAAATAGTAGGGTGTACACTACATATACTAATACAGTATATACAACTGTTTGAGTTCAACTTGTCAAGATCTCTCAAAGCAGGATTCTCATGTATCTTCTGCCGAGGCTGACTTCTGGTGACCAAGAGCAGAGGGCCAGTACCATTCGCGTTATCAAGCTGCTGAGGATTGTTCGAACTCTTCGTATCATCAAAACCGCGGCTGGGCGTATTTTTCGGAGGACTGACAGATGTAACGTAACGTAGATCAAAGAACATGTTGGGGTGGCTGTGACTCATTTGCATCAACGTCTAGGTCTTAACAGCGGCATGACACATTTGGAAACACCAAATTCACTATGAACATACATGATTTACCAACTTGAGCCATGCCCTCGCCCTAAGGTAGCATTGTTCCGCCAACTACGGCTGCTGGTTTCTACCTGTGTGGCCAGCATTGGTGCCTTTTTTTGGTCCATGGTCCTTCTCTTCATGTGCAAGGTTGGGTTTGCGCTGATTGTTTGCCAAGCACTTCAGGGCTTCATCATGGATGACAATGCTAATTTGGATACTCGCTTGGAGATGAACAACCTATATGGTAGCTTCACCAAATCGTTGTACACAACCTTTGAGATCACCCACAGTGGAAGCTGGCCTTCCCATGTGAGACCAGTGATTGAGAAAGTGAGTGCTTGGTATGCGATCCCCTTTCTCACATACATCACTTTGGTGGTGTTCGCAGTAATCAGGATAGTGACGGCGCTCTTTATCAAGGAGACCCTTGCAAGTGCCGCCAACGATGCTGACATGCAGATGGACGAGAATAGGGCCATGGCAACCGAGTACCAACGAAAGCTCGAAGAGCTGTTTCGTGCTGCTGATACAGATGGAAATGACTCCTTGTGTTCCAGTGAATTTCTACAAGCAATGAGCTTGCCTAGCGTGCAGCATTATCTTCAGGTGCTTGAGGTGAAAGTTTCGGATTGCCGCCCACTTTTTGACATCCTGGATGATGGAGATGGAAGGATCACTATCACGGAGTTTTGCAAGGGAATCATGGGACTGAAGGGAGTGGCACGAGCCCTGGACATTGTCATGCTCCAAAGGGAGAACAGCAAAGTCCTCAAAGAGTGCCAGAAGATCTACCAGAGGGTTGTCATGCTGACTGCTTCCAGTCCTCCAACCTGATCCTGCTTGATCCTTTATTTCAGCGGACTCTTGAAAAGAACGCCGCTCTGCAAAGATCGTGTTTCACCGCGGCCATTTGGGCCAATTTGTGTCTACTTTCCCTGGGCCGTGGTCCGCCACGGAGGCTCACAGCACAGGGTGCAGATGCAAAAGTTGCCGAGCCGGTGCAGTAGTTTCATTCTCGGTTGTGCTGCTTGCTTTGCAAGATGCAACATGCTTTCATTGTCTTGAATGCTGTGGATGGTCTGGGGCCGGAGATCATGTGATTGTTGATGTAGCAGCATCATCCTCATGTCTGTTGGGGATTTCCCCGTGGAGCATCTGTCTGAACATCTAATGTTTTTACTACTGAAATGCTGCTTGGACAGTGTTTGACAAGAGTGTCCCACAAGAGTTTGCTCCAATGACGAGTCCTACAACGCAAGAATGTACCATAAGAGTGTCCTACAAGAGTGCCACAAGAGTGACCGGCAAGAGTGTCCGACAAAGGTGTCCTACAAGAGGTTCTCACAAGATTGTCCTACAAGAGTGTCCCACAAGGATGTCCTACAAGGGTGCTCCACAAGAGTGTCCAAGAAAGAGTGTCCGACAAGAGCGTTTGTCTCATAAGAAAACCCTACAAGAGCGTCCCACAAGAGAGCCCCCGCAAGAAGGTCGTCCTGGAAGAGTGTCCGGCAAGAGTGCCCAACAAGAGTGTAACAAGATTTCCTGCTACTTTGCTACTTTAACCACTTGTTTTGGCCCAAGATATTTGCGGCGTGTTCTTGCCTTATCACCAAGTGAAGGGAATGCCTCGTCCTTGCCAAGAGCGAGCGGAGTTGACTGCACAACAAGAATGGTTCCTCACATTGCTTGACAGAAAGTTTGCAGAACAGGAGGCTGTTATCCGAGAGTTAATCAGCAGCGAAGGCAAAGAGACCTTCAATGCTGAAACCTTCTTGGAGAGCAATCGGCTACCTGACCCTTCGTTGAAGACGGAAAAGGCGATGGAGATCACTGAGCCGAACGAGACAAAGCCACGCTCAACCACCAGGCCAAGGGGGACCCTCGCAAAGGTGATTGGGCAGGAAGTGATTGATCCTCCGTTGAAGGCGTGGGTGAAAGGTTCCCTGGATGGCTACATGGGCATGGTCGTGGTTGTCAATTTGTCCCTCATGGTGGTCGTAGCACAGTTTGTTGGTGCTAGAGCAGACTATGGGCTAAATCTTGCCTCCGAAGAACCAGGCATGCTCCTGGAAGACATTTTCTACGTCCTGGACTATGTTTTTTTTGGCATTTATGTCTTGGATGTCTTGTTGCGCATTGTGGTCTTGCGGAAAGAGTGGTTCCTTGATCACGTTGATGGGATCATGTACATGAACCTGTTTGATGCATTCTTGGTGGTTGTCCATGCTTTGGAGCTTTTGCTGCTTCCGCCTGGTACTCAGTTGTGGCATCTTTAAGGACGTGCTCATTATCTTGCATGTTTCCTATTTTGTGCATTCGCTAGAAAGAAGTCATTATGGCTGGGACCAAGGATACTATTGGGTGCTAATCAAGAGCAAAGTACAAGTAGCATTCGTGTCATCAAGCTTGTGCGAATTGTTCGTACACTTCGGATTGTCAAGACTGCAGCTTGGACTTAAAGTGCAATTTTCAGGTGATGTTTCGTCAATTTTGGGGGCCTTTGAGCCTAAGACTATTCTTCTGAACTGCTGTGTTTTCTAGGTTTGCATCACGCTGACTGTGAGTGCCAGTTTCCAGTTGCTAGTGGTAGGACTACTACTCCTAGAGTTGTCATTGGCAGGGAAATTGTAGCACGCTGGACTCCCACAATTATACATATAATATATATACATAATTCCAATGTTTTACTATAATAGATATCACCAGTGAAGTAAACAAAATGCAAAACGATCTCAACGGTCAAATTCTAGATCTCAACAGTCCAAAAGCAATAAAGAAAGGATGTAAGAGAGAACCCTTAATGACTCATAACGTTTTAACACCACTCAGGTTTGAGGGGACTCTGTCCTCCAAAGCTGCTGTAATTTTGGCACACCAGACCAGGTATCTTTGTTTCGGCAGCTTCGCCTTTTGGTTGGGACATGTGTGGCAAGCATCGGCGCACTGTTTTGGTCCATGGTCCTTCTCTTCATGTGCAAGGTTGGGTTTGCGCTGATTGTTTGCCAAGCACTTCAGGGCTTCATCATGGACGACAATGCTAATTTGGATACTCGTTTGGAGATGAACAACCTATATGGCAGCTTCACCAAATCAATGTACACAACCTTTGAGATCACCCACAGTGGAAGCTGGCCTGCCCGTGTGAGACCAGTGATAGAGAAGGTGAGTGTTTGGTATGCAATCCCCTTTCTGACGTACATCACTTTGGTGGTGTTCGCAGCAATCAGAATAGTCACGGCCTTGTTTATTCAAGAGACTCTAGCAAATGCTGCCAACGATGCTGACATCCAGTTGGAGAACAGCCGACGTTTGGCACAGGAGTATCAGGACAAATTGGAGGCGTGGGTGTGGTGTTTGTGTCGCTTTGGTGTGCCAGGCGTATTGGATCCCATATTTGCATAGCGGCATAGCGCAGGGTTCCCGTTTAACTCTGGGGGTTTGTTGTAAAGCTGTGTTTGTGTGATGTTGCTGAGGTGTTTGCACCTGTCCTCAACCGTTGTCAACTGTTCGCAGGCGACCACAAGAAGTGATGCAAAAGATATGAGCCGATTGATCAAACTGACACCCAACCACCGCTCTGTGCTAGTGCTAATGTTGCTGCTCCCGCTGCTGCCGTGCTGTTGGACAATTTCAGGTCATGCTCGACCCTTTTCGATCCCTCTGGAAGCAGTCGAGTAGTTTCCATGTACCTGTTCGCCTCGTCAATCCACCGTGCGCATCGGCTGGGCTGTCGGTTTGGCTGTTCTTGGCTCCACGATTCTTGCCTTAGTATGGTTGGTTTGAAAGGGATCGAATGAACCTTCCTGAAGGATTTTAAGTTCAAGACCCAGACCCGGAAGCAATACCCTTTGACCACGGAGAGTCCCCTTCAGCCGGCTCAAGTTGTTTGGACTGGTTACTGCTGGATTGGCTGTCGACGGGTACACAGACCTAGAGGTCGGTATCGTTGAAAGGGAAATTGAAACAATTTACTGTTACTTGACCCGCGAAATCCTGCGTGTGTTTCTGCAAAGGCTGGTTTGGCACGAAAGCGGGGTCTTTTTCTGACCAGGTGGTTGCATGGGCTGCTTCCCATGCTCCCTGTCACTGTGATTGCATTTTTGGAACCCTTTGCTTGGAACTCGGATTGGTGAAGCTACAAATCCTTGCCCTGGTGGGCACAGGAGAACTGACCATGCTGCTTGCCTCAAGCCTAAGCCTTACCAGTTTGGAACCTCACGGAGCATACGGAGCGAGCTCCAAGAGCCGTCTCAAAAAGAGCAAGGGTGGTATCTTGAAGAAGCGGGTAAGACCGTAAGACCTATGGTCATCTATGGTCAATGGCGGCTCAGTCAGTCGTTGCTTTAAATGTTGCAAGTGGCCATCACTGATCAGAAATCAGACGAGCAGGTTGCAGACCGATTGACGGCAACTGCCAAATTCTCCGGCACTTCTCTCCAAATGACTCCAGTAAGGTCAGACATGTCCATGGCGAAGGAGATGCCTCTCCAGCACAGAGAGTGATTTCTCTGGGGGCTGTGTGCCGAGACTGAGAAGGGTGAAGCCAAAGGGTTGCACCCAGCCACCCTGTTCGTATAAAATACGTGGCCATTTCCACGGATGGTCTCACAGTTGCCATCACTGTTGGGCCCTGGGCGTTGAGCAGACATCGATGTTGCCCTACAAACATAAGGTCGGTCCTACTACACCACTGCCCAAGGTGTTCAGATGCTTATAGTGAGTAGCAGTAGCCCTCCAAAGGTCAGGCTTCAACTGCTGACTCCTCCCATTGGAAGTTTGTGGTTGGGGGGTGAAAAGTTGGATGACTGACCCCTCTTTGGTCACTGCTCAGCGGGCCATTTGTTGCCCGTTTTACGTAGTTTCACTGGTCGCTCAGTTCAGAACCTCGGAGGCCCTTGCTTCTCTTTGTGTGCTCAGCGGGGTTCGCGGTCATTTTGCAGCCTTTTTGACATGCGCTCACGCCACCGTTGTGGATTGCTCGGCCTTTCAGGATATGACTCACAGGACAGAAGTTAATTAATTTAATGATAATTAATGCTATTATGTTTCGAACGCTGAGCAAGATGCTAGCAAACATCATTTTGGCCTGGCCCTTCAACGAGGCGGACGCAGTGATGTCGGGGCTTGCTAGGATCCACCCTAAACAAAATGCGCGGTCCGGGTTGGCAGGATGTTTCACTCAAAAGTTGCTTTCGACGACGCGGCCAATCAGGGTGACGCTGATGAACTTTTGGCGCTGCAACACTCCTTTGATTTGGCGATGGACGGTCTGGTTTGGGTTTTAGATCCGTTGCGCGCAACCTCGCCTGTTTGTAAAGAAAAGATTCGCGCTTTGGAGGTTGGCCGTTTGCTCAAAAACCGTTCGGAATATTAGCCCTTTTTAGCACCAGACCACGCGACCACAGATGATCTACGTCATGTTTGCGGCCAGACGACAGTTTTGGATTGATGCTTGAGACTGTTGCTGTGATGTTCGGGTTCCTGCCAAGGGGCTCAATGAACCCCCACGCCATATTGCGCCTACAGGCAAGAGAGGGTTTTGTCAGTTGAAGCATTGAGATGTTGATGCCGTTCCGGTCCTATTCGGTCTTTGTCTCTCCCTCCTAGCGCCTCGAGTAAAAACTTATCTTGCCGGTTCCTTCTTTGAACTGCAGTCTTGTCCTTACTCCTGGTGGGTCACTTCGGTCGGGTGTAGTTAGTTGTACTGCTGTGCAAGGGCGATCCCACGTGGTCACTGGTCTTGTTTTTTTTGATCCCTGCTCATACTCCTCATGGGTCGTGCGCTGCCTTTGCCCCTTCTCGTGTTGACAGTCCGAGCTTGTCTTCCCGTACTGATTTTTTGTTGCTTGTCCGTCCGGTCCCTTGAAGATGTGGCTCACTGGCAAGCAGACAAGTTTTGAGGACGACAAGCTTCTCTATCATTCCCCCGACAGTTTGGACAGTTTCAGTTTGGTGGAGGGTGTTGCTCAGCATCCAAACAAATGTTGCAATGATGCTCCTGGTTTCTTCAGCTGAAAATGCTCAAGACTGGGCTGCGTTTGTTCAAGACCCTTTGTTTGAATTTTTAATGCCACCCTTCCGCACGCCGCGAATCCCACTGCGCCACCAGCCCACTTGCGCGCCACAGTGCCATTCGTTTTCGCGTCGGGCCCCTACACCCCCCGCAAAAAACGTTCAAAGACAGATATTTTTTGTTCAAATGTTCTGCCTTGGGGTCTGATCATAAGTGCACCCCTGCCTATAATGGAGGACGCTTTCTGGCTTGAACACCAGGCAGCACATTTTCAGTAGATAGATAGATAGATAATGATAGATAGAAGATAAGATAAGATAAGATAAATATAAGATAAGATAGATAGGATAGATAGAATAGAGAGAATAGACAGAATAGATAGAATAGAATAGAATATAATGGATTAGCATAGAATAGAATAGAAAGATGGATAGATAGACAGACAGACAGACAGACAGATAGATAGTCATAGATAGTCAGATTAGATAGATAAGATTGATTAGATAGACTAGATATACAAAGAGACAAAGAAACTGAAGCCATGGAAAGAACCACATCGGGTCGAACATGGACACCGGGAAACCAACCCAAGCTGCTGATGAAGCCAACAAGATGGAAGCCGAGAAACAAGACGCTCCAAAAAGGCACCTCACACCAGTAAAAACTCCAGATCACCTGCCAAAGAAACTCCACTACACTTTGCAAAGCAGAGGCAAAATGTCCTTCAAAAAAGAGGAAATCGACAAGGCGATCATCAAATCATCAAAAGTGCATCCTCTACACCATGAAAGCCAGAATTGCTTAGGTGAAGTACAAAAAGGTCACACGCCTAGAAGATGATTACGCACACAGAGAGAGAATCGTAGAATGGTGCCCCAAAGAAAGTGGTATCAGCAAACGAGTCTACCCAGCAGACTGCGAGTACAACCACCAAACCAGGGCAGACACCATCTCACCACAAACTCACGTCAAATTGGCCCAGCCTTGGGTTCGAAAGAAGCTCCTCGGTTGGCAGAAGGAAAAGTACCCACAAGGCATCCCCGAATGGTGGACAGCAGATGAAGACACATCGTTGGGAGAAAAATCGGAGTACAACCTTGAGAACAACGGCAAGATCATGTTCAAGCCCCAGGTTCCGTTGTGGGACTTCCAATGAGAACAGCAATGATGGTACTCAAAGAGACGTTCTCCTAAAAAGAATTTTCACCAACGTGGGCCGAAAACAGCATCAAGATCTGGATAACATTCAATCTCACCCAGGGAGTCGCAAAACTTCGCATCGACCACTCCATTCCCTTCGAGATGTTTGTGACCGCCTTCCAGGTCAAGTTTCTCAACGGTCCCGCCGCCGGAAAAGGAAGAGGGAAGAGAGACAGGAAAGGTCGCGGAAAAGGAAAGGAGTCACAGGAGCCTGCAGCAGAGGAAGGCCGATCAGACTACCCTTTCTCCTTTCAGTTCCACCAGGTGACCGACTGGGCGAGGGAGTATGAGAAATAGAAGAGGGAAGCTCGCAGTGAGGCGATAGACTAGGGCAAGTCAGGGGTCTCGGGGGAAAGGTGATGTTCAAAACAAAACCTCACCAATCACAAGTCTCAAAGCCCAGGCGCAAAGACAAACAATTATCAACTGGAGACTCATATGTCACAGCGGCACAACAAGCCAAAACCAATGAGGCACAAAGTGCTATCAATGCTGATGCCTGTACAGATTTTACAGAGTATATATAATTACCACGAAACCTCCGCTCCGTCCAAGCGAATACAGCTAAGAGCCAAAGACCGGCACTTTGTGCCAGCCCGGCAGTCTCTGCCTTTACACAGTAATTACCAAGAAGTCGCTAGAAAAACACAGCTATAAAAGGAAAACCCGCTTCAGACACATCACTCCAAACACATCTACCCTAGAGAGCATTTGGGAATGCCGGAAAGCCACGCCGCAAGCGGAAGTGGCAACCAAAGGTCGCCCGAACCAAGTCTTACCGGAATATGAACACAGGTAGATCTGCCAACTCTAAAGAATCTAGTAACGCACAAAAAGCAAACAGCCAACAAGTTGACAAACCGAAAAGAACACAAAGGAAATCTGAAACTGACAGATTCATACGTACATGTAATAGAGCGCAAAAACGCGCTGAGACCAGACGTTTGTATAGAATGGTTAGGAAGTGCTGGACTGGGAATATATTCTGATTAAAAAGCAGTGGCGAAACGCTATACGCAACATTGATACAACACCGCGCGCAAGTATTGAATCCGATCACAAGCTGATAACGGGAGGGAACGATCCAAATTTAACTAGCAACGAAAAGTGCGCATAGACCCCCGCAAATCACAAAATATCGGACCCCCACTTCCGTGCAAAGAGCTCAATACAATGCATACGTTTATATACTTAAAGCTTATATAATTCGGAACGCGTCACCAATGGACAGGAACCTCTCTCTCTCTACTGGCTCAAGTTTTGAAAGAATCGGCGAAGAAAAACCTGACCCAGATACCCGTGCCCAAAAGAAAACCGTTTCTCTCAGCCGAAACCTGGAACCTATTGGAATCACGTCAAAGAGCAGAAGAGTCTGGTGACGGAATCTTGGCAAAGTGACCTGTCCAGTAAGATCAAAACGGCCATTTGAAAAGACAAAGCTGCCCACCAATTACAGCAACAAGACGAAACCGAAGGACATACATATAAATGGAAAGAATTAAAAAGAATGTAATGAGGGCACGACCGACTCTGAAATTCACTAAGCTTAAAGACAATCAGGGCAGACGAATTACCAGCACACAATACTCCCAGAAGGCCGCTGCATATCAAGCGAATGAACCATGGAAGATCGACGATATAAACCTTCCCCCCTCAAAAAGTAAACCCCTCGTGTCTCTGGCAAGGACGGTTCCCCATCAACGGTGGCTGGCCACTTCACGCTGCAAGAACTGGACAAAGTACTCGAAAAACAAGCAATAACAAATCGCCCGGTACAGATCTACTACGTGCTGAATTGGCCAAATACCTAGACTCCACAGACAGATCGTATCTCCTTCACTGTATCAACGAGATATTAGACAAGGGTACACTCGAACCATCACTACCCAGGGGACTCGAGCCAACTTGAAAACTACAGGCCAATGTCCCTTCTTCAAACTTTCTATAAGATCATTGCGGCTATAAGATCACTGCGGCCCTCATCAAGAACCGCCTCTCCAAAGGGCTTGAGACATGAATCGTGGATACGCAATATGGCTTCAGAGCAGGCAGGAGCACAAGTCACGCAATCTTCCTCGCAAGGAGGTTGCAAAGCATGGCCGAAATTAGTGGGAAGAATCTAGCGACCCTGGGAGAAAGCTTTTGATAAAGTCCACCAAACACGGCTACTTGAATCATTCGGTAGGGTAGAAGTTCCCTCAAATTATTGGCATTGATTGGCAACATTTATGAAAGTCACCAATTCCAAGTTTCCTGCAATGAAGGAGAGTCAAGGTGGCTGTGGCTTACGCAAAACTCTGTGTCAGGCATAAGACAGGGACTCATGTCCACGATGTTCCCAGACATAAAGGCAAGGCTGTCCACGCCCAAACAGAAAGAACCCCTTGATGGAATAACCTTTGCAGAAATACTCTATGCTGACGACACTCTGATTTTTGGCGACCACACGCCTTGATTAAATAAACTGCTCAAAATAGAAGTGGAATCCTCTTACTACAACATGAAACTCAACTACGGAACATGTATTAACATGACAACGGACAGAAAGACGTCAACAATAAAATATCTAGATGGAACTCAGGTCCCACGAGACAGTCGTGCAGTATACCTAGGGTCATTATTGACAAACCAACTGAGACAATCTGAACTAAGCAAACTAGATGCTTGTCAGATGAAGGGCGGGGCTGGGACGAATTCTTAAAATAACATCCACTTTCATAGATAGAGTACAAACCAACCAAGTCGTACTGCAAAAAGCAAATACGCATGGAGTGTATATTCCAAAACTATCATATTTTTGTAGGCAGAGGAAGATGAGTCTATTAGGCCACATTCGCCGAGCAGATGCAAACGATCCTCTCAGACAGGTGACTATTGAAAACCAAACTTGCGTCCCACGAAAAACAACATATCGAAGGCAAGGGAGGCCGAGAGCGGACTGGCCAACTGAAACGGTGAAAGACATTTTCCATTCTCTCGGACACAACCCGCCCCAAGAGCCAGGCCTCCAAGGCATACGAATGCGAAAACAATAAAACCAACCAATCTCTGAAAAGAAGGGCGCTGCCCCATCAGCCTGTGGGCTTACGCAGTAATTACATAGCAAAGGACAAATGCCTTTCCCCGAGCCGCGTGTTACCTCCTGCTATGTCAATTTTTGATCCGAACAACTGAACACGTGTTGTGCCGCTCTCCGGCAAACTTCTTGCTTGGCGCTAGAACAAATAGATAGATAGATAGAATGATTGATTGATAGATTGGATCGGTTACTGTAGATTAGATTGGTTGATAGGTTAGAGAGATATGGTTGTTTGTTCCGTTTGTCCTTGCGGTCCTTGCAAGTGTGATTCACCGTTGTTTGCAGGAGCTGTTTCAAGTTGCTGACAACGACGGAAGCGGCAGCCTCACCCAAGAGGAATTTGTTGAAGCGCTGAGCCTTCCGAGCATTCAACGGTATTTGACCTCCTTGGACGTTCGAATTCAGGACTCTACGGCAGCAATTGCATGTTGCTTGGTTTGTGTAGGTATTCATGCAAGTGGTAGTGCATTCTTAACAAGTAAGTATATAAACATTGTATAACATGCTTGTCTGACTTGGAAGGTTCTAGTCTGCCTTTCCCGTAGGTGTGACGGCTCGGCGCGTGTAGTTTTTCGTTTTGGAATAGCCTACATGGGAACGCCCCGCCCCCCACGCCGTTTGCGGCAACTGCAGGGTTGGCAAAACGGGTCCAGGGTTGCGGTCGGGTTTCATTCGTGCCGATACCTGATGGATGGCTAATTACGCATTGAAGGTTGCCTGGTTGCCTGAGTCATGGTGTGCCGTGCGTGGCCGCTCTGCAAAGCGGCTTGACCACTTAATTCGTGTTAGTTCTATAGTTATATATAGGGTTTCCTCCATGCCAAGGCTTTTGTTGCAGTTTCGTGCCAGCGACGGCGACGAGAAGGTCCACAAGGAAAAGAGGTTTTCGAGGTCAGGCTGACCGAAACGGTTTAAGCTGTCTAACCAAGAAAACAGCCGATTGGACCCTTGGGACCTTTGCCTCCGGTCAACGTTTTGGGTGCGCATGAATGTTCTTTCTTGTTAAGTGCTCTCTCTTCAATGGTTGCTAATTGAATATGCCGCAATATGCCTCTCTTGCTCGTTAATTAATGTGCGTTTTGCTTTGCCGTGCGTGCGGATATAGCATGCTTTCTGTGCTTCTTTACCCTCCTGTACCCCCCGTAGGGGAAAGGCTGTGAGGAGCGCAGCGGATTGGAACAATTTCCGCCGTCCCCAGCCGGCTGCCACCGAACACCGGCTCCGCCGCCTGGGCCGATTGTACGCCCTGGCGTCGCCCTGGTGCTCGGGTCGCCGCCGCTGTGCCGCTGTGATTTGTGTGGCAGGGGCAGCACTTGGTGCTCTCCAGGCGTCGTCCTGGTGCTCATGGGTCGCCGCCGCTGTGCCGCTGTGATTTGTGTGGCAGGGGCAGCACTTGGTGCTCTCCAGGCGTCGCCCTGGTGCTCGTGGGTCGCCGCCGCTGTGCCGCTGTGATTTGCGTGGCAGGCGCAGCGCTTGGTGACTGTGAGCATCTGAGACACTGAATAACTCTGATCTTAGCCTAGGACACCGCAAGCTGCCGACTTTCAGCTACAGCGCATTTGTGTCCTCTACATACATACGTGATCCATCACCAGCGCACTCCACCACCATTTGTCTATCCCCCACGGACCTGGCCGTGCAATGAAGTGAACACAGGTTCAGTGAAAAATTTTGCATGCTTGTGTTTAGTTCCGATTTGTTATGTTTTGACCGACCGCTAGACAACGCACTCGGACCCGAAACGAAAATGAACAACCAAAAATTCGGAGCCGCGCTTGGGAGAGTGCTTTGCAGGACTGCCGGCCATTGTTTGATATTTTGGATGACGGTGATGGGCATATCACGATCGCTGAGTTCTGCAAGGGGCTCATGCAGCTGAAGGGTCAAGCACGAACTTTGGACATCCACATGCTTCATCGGGAAAACTCGAAGGTCCTGAAGGAATGTCAGGACATCCAGCGTCAAATGCGCTTGGTATGCAGGGCTGTCATGTCTGCCTAGGGCATCTTGAGGCATGCAATCCAAGCTTGCCAAGCATCGGTGCAGTCATGTTGGCAAAGCCACATTGACCTGATGGATTTTTGCGTCGCTGATGCCAAAAGGAACTATACAGCCGTGCCGGTGAGTTTTCACAAGTGTTTTTAACCATGCCAATGCTTGCAGCTTTCATTTGCGCAAGAAGACGGCCGCATATAATTTATAAATGATGTGTTTCTTCCAGTTGATGCTGGTTCAGGTCAAGGGGTTGGACATCTTGTGAGAAGCTGCTCGAAACAGGTTCTGATTCTTTCCCGTGTAGCCCATCGAATCGTGTTTGAGTCACCGTGGACGCGTTTGGAGCTTGGAAAAGGAATCCTGGTCCACTTTGCATTGGCATAATTTGCGTGCCGTTCCCATCGGTGTGGATATCTCTACAGCACATGGCCCATCATCAGCCCAGCAAACTGATGTTGCCATCATAGGCCCTTTCCAAAATGACCGGTGGGAGCAAAACGTATCATTCCAACACGAATGACATTGCACATGTTTGCACTGTTCTCCTATGCAGTGGTATGCATTTGCAATTTTGCGGACCGTTTGGCCGTATCCAGCTGTGGTAACGAAGTTTGGCGCCAACGGGCGCAGAGTTCGAAGCTGAGCCTTCCGGCAACAACCTGCGGAGGATTCATTCTTTAGCATGTCGAGGGTAGACTTTTGAATCATGTAGGTGCAGTTGGTTTATTGTTGGTGTACGTAATTATGCTACGGTAAGGTTTCTGTGTCGGAGTCGGAGTGTTTGGTATTCTGCTTGGAGCGCTGGTAACACCTTCAGTTTTCACTGCAGCATTGCTGCACTGAGGCCTTGAGCTGATTGATTTCTGTGCCCTGACCCACGCTCGACATGAGATCTCGATCTGGCATTGCTTTGAATTTGATCGGCGGTCTGATGTCGCTAGCAGCCTGCATTTTGGCCCTATTTGATTCATAGAAGTGGACGGCCAAAGAGCCGAGAATGCAAACTAGGACAACAACTTAATGCAACATGACAGTCAGTCAAGGCTTCAGTTTTTGGTGTTTGTTGCTGTAGAGAGGGTAGAGTAGGATGTGAGATTCTGCAGCCATGCTTGGCTTGGTATCATCGATAGTTCCCTTGCAGCAACCTGGCCACTTTGGAAGCCTCTCAGTGCTTTTAGGAAGTTGTGCTCAGACAATTAGCAACCGATGACCATAGCCAAACTGGGTTCGTTTAAAGAGTCAGTTCTTTGATCTGAGGCGGTTTGAAGAGTGCTGTGGCAGACGCCCAAAGGAAGCACCTGTAAAGGCCAGACATGCTTGCACCAGCGAAGCATGAGGATTGCTCATGCCAATTGGATAGGTGAAGTGTGCCTTCTGCAAGCGCTGCTTTAAAACGGATGCTGACCTGCAAGCGCATGTACAGAACAAGCATATGGAGGACACATGCTCGTTCAAAAACTTTGCTGTTCTGTAGGGTTGGTGCACTGACTCGAGAATGCCAACAGGAGCCATCTGCAGTGCGGGCACTAAATGCTGAGCTGGGCACAAGGCCACTTTTTTCTTGCCGAGCCGGGGTCCTTCCTCATTTACTCGTGCGAATGTTAGGCTGACAATAGTGGAAGAAGATGATTGGTTGGCAGTTGTTTTGCTCTCAGAGTTGAACCTCTTTGGCTGGCCGAGAGATCATCGAGAAATGTTCAGCTTTTCATTGAGTACTCAGGTAGTCAAGCCTCAGGGCTGCCCCACCTTTGGGAAAGGCGTGCGGGACCATGATCAGTCAATCCTTAGAAGTAAGGCAGATGGGCACTGGATTGTGGGTGTGAGGCAGCTTTGCCAAGTCCTGGTTGCTCCGGCAGCTTTCACCAAGCACTGCCACGGATGCCCTGGGCAAGGCCAGCCATTTTGTAATGATTGCTTTAAGATACTTTATGCAATCGCATCCAAAAGAATTTTGTGCCCACTGTGCATGATCAGTGTGGGACATACAGTAGCACGTGGACAGGCACGCCCGGTGCATCGTTTGGATGCCGCCACCGGTGGCTTGTTGGTTTTGGCCAAGACCAAGACCTCACTGCGTGCTCTCACAGAGGCATTCGCAAAGGCCACGGTTTTGCAATCTCTTCTGGACAAATTGTAGTTTCTTGATTCTGGAACAACGTAGTTTACACGCTGTGCTATCGAGGCTATCGTGTCAATAGGAACTGTAAATTACTGCAAGAGTTCATCACTTCTTACCCCCTCAGGGTCTCGTGAAGAAAAGATATCGGGCCTTGGTGAGGGGCAACTACAATCTGGGATGCAAGGGGCAGTGCGATGAGCCGCTGCCACCAGGCATTCATATGGTCCATAGAGATTTGTGAGGTTGGCAGACTCAGAACATGCTATCAGTATTTATTATGGACTGAGTAGGGCATACGGTGTGTAATCCATTGTAATACTAAATTGTCCATGACCTCCGTGCCAAATGAAGCTGCCGTCGCATTGTCGGTCTAATTTATCGACAATGTTGATTGAAACAAATGGTTTGTTTGGCCGCTTGCCTGACTTGGCCCACTGCTGTGAAAGAGATAGCGACGCTAATAAACCAGAATGTACTCTGAGGTATGGGAAGGCATGCGTTACTCAGTTCGAAGCCGTTGAGGACCCTGTGCACACAGAAGATGGGATTGAGCATCGGCGACATGTTGGATCCATTTCAGACTAGTTGACTAGGGGCTCCTGGCCTTACTACTAGGAGCAAGCACGCTACTAGGGGTTCCTGGCCTTACTGCTAGGAGCAAGGACGCTACTAGGGGCTCCCGGGCTCCTGGCATCGCTATTAGGAGCAAGGACGCTACTAATTAGGGGCTCCTGGCCTTAATTGATTCGATTCAGTGTCCAAATTGGAAGAATGTGCCATCGACCCTTGCACTTGTGGTGGGTAGCCTTGATAGATTTGAATGGCTAATTTGGCCTAGGTAAGCACCCTGGATCTATGGCCACATTCGGGTCGCCGACACCAGCTCCGCCGACATATGGCAATGCTGGGCAGTCCTATTCTAGGTCCTTGGGTTTTGTATGCTTTGAATCTTTATGCCGTGGATCTGGAACGGCAGTGGTCAATGTTCTTAACTTGTAGGTGATCGTCGATATGGGGGCAGGCGCTGCGGAAGTGCAGCCGAGGCCAGTGCCATTTTGCATCGCAAACATTCGCAACATGTATTGCAAGCAAAGGCCTAGCAGCAAGAACGCTACTATAGGGGCTCCTGGCATCGCTACTAGGAGCAAGAAGCTACTAGGGGCTCCTGGCATCGCAACTAGGAGCAAGGAAGCTACTAGGGGCTCCTGGCCTTCCTACTAGGAGCAAGAAGCTACTAGGGGCTCCTGGCATCGCTACTAGG